GTCACCGGCTGTAACGACCACCCACACAACAAAAAGCCGGGATGACACCGCTGTCAATCTGGGTGACTGGTTGATTTGTTCATATCGAACGCACAAAGGCATCAAGCGCCATGGCGATACACTTTTGGCGCTGCTTGATTATGTTCAACGGACCGTACCGTTGGCTGCTTTAAGACTTAATGTGAGACTGTACTAGAGATTATCTTTTCACAGGAGCCTGGATGCCCGAAGTTGTGCCGTACTGTGATTTCCAGCAAACTGGAATGATGTGCCTGGACCACGTAGCATCCGATCCGTCGTCCCAAACGGCGGGCGTCACGCTCATAGCAGACTTCGAGGGCTTCACTGCATCCAAGATGCTTTCCTGCGGCGTTGGCTTGATGAGGCGAGGCCTTGACTATTTGCAGGTACAAATGATCCCTCATGATGTCAACATGTAGAAATTTCCTGGCGGCGGGAACGAAACAAACCTTCACCACTTTAATCATTTAGATCCTAGTTTCAGCACTCGCTACACCAAGCAGGCATGCCTCCTGCAAATACGTGAATAAGTGCCGTCACTCCTTACTCGCTCCAATAGTAACGGAGTTGTATACTCACTTCGAATGTGGTAATAAGTATGTACGTTACATTAATCGTTGTCTTTCGTATTTAGTTAGCTCATGGGAATTCAATGATACCGTCGCCTTTCCCGGTTTTTCCGGCCATTACACACTTCTGAACGTTGACGAAACCAAAACGTTGGTCGGAGTAGTGACACGAGTCACATTGCATCGGTGTATTAGAACATATAACAAATGCAGTTGCTCGTTTACTTCTTAATATGAAACTCGTTCCTGACTTTTTTTTTTTAATTCGATGTTACTGCCTCGTTACCAGAACAAATGTTGAGTTACTACAAGTAAAATGTGCCACCATACGACTGATTGTAGCAATAATTACTGTTAAAAACACTAATAAATAAAACATTTTACATCGTTTAAAAACGTTCAAGTTCCGTTCGAAGTTGCGTTACTTTTGAGAAATTAGGATACTTTAAGAACACTCCATTAAATGAACTCATTTTTCAAACAATTTTACGTCTAGAGCATCACAAAAGTAGTCCTGTGCATTTCATATAATCTTTATATGACAGATTGTGAAGCTACGTGAAGTGCGCAGCAGAGTGCGAATGTATAAATCTCAAGACTGACACCGAGGTATAAAAAAGTCCTCCTCCTTGGAAGCTGCACACTTCAGGGAGTGTAGTTTGCCATTTAACCATCGTATGCACAAACTGTAGACAGAATCTAGAAGACAGACGTTTGCCCTTTTCGCTGTTGTATAAAACAGCAGAATATTCGAGCGTATAGGGAGTGGTTTTGTTCACGCGTGTCTTTTATTACTCGCAGAATTGCCTGCCAATTCGTCTGAAAGCCCAGCACATCGTGAGGGAATCATACGTCTTTGACCTGTTGTATGCTCTTCTCCGACCTTTCATCAAGAAAAAAATGACGAGCAGGGTGAGCGAAGAGATGACCTGCCCGTCCGAAACTTTGCGTTGCTTCATCAAAATTAGAGATCATCTAGCGTGCCCGGACAGCTCCGCCTAAAATATCAAAGCCTGTGGACAACCTTTTCTAGCTCCACGGGACGTCATTCGACTCGGATGGCGCGAACTCGGCAATTAAACCCGAGCCGACGCCGAGCGCCCTTCTTTACGTTCATTGGACACGAAGCCAAGCCGAATGCTGACGCAGCACTCGTGTCCAATGTGCGTCTGCGCTCGACCTCACGGTGGTGATATCGAAATTCTATGGAGGCTTTGATTGCTCTAGGTGGTGGTGACCCCGGCCGGCCCCTATGGTTTGCTCAAATAATTGAGCACGTCCGTGTTTAACGGAAGGGATGAGGCAAGGGATAGCAAGTCGGATATATAGTTTTGAATGCAGTGTCTCGTTTCAAAAATAAACAAAATATTGGCCCCTGCACCTAACCAGCTCGACCTTTTACAAAAAGTGTCTTCTAGTAGTTTATGTTATCTCGTAAAATTCCAATGAGTAGATCCCTTTCTGTGAAATATTAGGCCCACGCTCTTGACATATTAAGCGGCGGACACCAATGCAGACGACCGAGCTAAGCCGAAGTCTAAATTTTAGATTGTTTCCTACTGCTCAATCTGGGTTGCGTGCCTTACGGGCCGCGTTTCCAACAAAAGGTGCGAGGACACGACGAAAGTGTCTCGTGTCCAGCTTTTAAGCAGATGACAAAGTCATAGTGCTGAATTGTTTTCGGCGCCGCCGAAAGAAGGCCAACAACACTCAGCGTTTAGTTGACAGTCGAGTTCTCAATGATTGAACACCAGTATCGGTCGAATGCTAACGCAGTAGTTGTGTCCATTTTGTGCCCAGTGTTTGCCTTTTTTAGGTAACGCCAAAAATTCAAAACTACAATTTTGCTGACGAGGGTGTGTTGCTTTCCTCAGCATCTTGTCCCCGTATCCTCCTTGTCACTCGACAACTCACGCTTCCGCGTAAGTCTAGGCTTTTTACTCGAGGATTGTGTTTCTAGCTCCATCTTTCAATAGACGAAGCAAGCATACAACCGCGTTGTCTGCTTTCAATCTGGTGCCGTCGCCTGCTTTGTGCGCCTGTCAGGAGATGGCGCAACAAGCACAACCTTCTGTTGCACCTTTGGGTTCGCCACTGAAAATGCCAAGATTGTCAAATTATTTACAAGATGGAATCTGCGCGTTTACAATTTCCCACTGTAAAATGCATTACAAATATACACTTTCGGTTTCAGTAGAAGCTTGTTACGTGCAGGCGCCGATTTTTCCAGTTGATCTTAGTGCAAGTCCCGTATTCCTTAATAAACCCTTATCTCTCTCTCCCTCTCCCGTACTCACAACACTCTACAGTTCCCATGTTTTCGTGAAAAGGACGGGCATAAGGAAAACACGTAAAATCGAGTGTAATCTCTTGTGATTCACTAATCTAGATGTCGGAAAGACTCATTAAAGAGCTTAAGTCGATCCTTCCCATAAGAACGATAACCGTACCCGATACTCAGCTGGCGCCTTTGCGCATGCATCGTATCGCCATCGGGTATCGTTATCGGAGGTGTCGGAACGATCTTTTAAAACTTGCTATTATCAACTCTGAAAGAACCTTAAAGTTTTTTCCTTGCCCCTGAAATGATGCCTGATTTGTCACGGTGCAGATCCACTGCCACGGATACAACTTCGAGACTCTGCATGAGCAGATAGATCCCAGAGCGCTCCCTGAAGAGTTTGGAGGCCAAGGAAAGCCGCACGATTTTGACGCCTTCTGGAAACGTCTCCACGACGAGGAGCATATCTTTGCAGAAAACAATCGATACGGCTATCACACTCCATCCAGTGACTTGGTACTCAATGATGAGTACGAGGAAGAAAACACGGATCTATAGTCGGTGGTTGTGGAGTTCTTTTAATGTATTTGACTTCCCAGGGACCGGAGCATTGTAAATAGTCGTTTATTTTATTTACAGATAATTACCCTCTCTAGATCAGCGATTAGACGTACCTTGACATGCCAGCTGAAGAATAGCAAACTACTTTTTTTATATTTTGAGTTGTGTGACGTAATAAAAAGCACCTCAAAGACGACGACAATTACAATAGCAGGAATGGCGCATGGTAACTGCTAGAAAAAGTCGTCGGCACGTTCTTCCACGTGCACGTGTGCAAGAAATAACGAACACAATGAAGTTGGAGTCACGTTTAAGCAGAGACCAGTATGTACTGATAATATCATGAAGCACGAGCTGTGGGTTTCCAGTGACAAGCAATAACGGTTGAGACATAAACAAAGTTATTCAATTAGTAACAGGGCTTACAAGAGCCACCACATAACCAAAAGATTTGTTTCAATTGAACGCGCTACTTTAAGTTTGTATTTCAATCGCAAGTAGCATGTTCTAGATGAAAATATTTATAGTGTAAATAATGTGGGGTACAAGCGTTTTGGATATATATTGAATATATACAGTGACTTATTTCTCGGCGATTTCGAGTGGTCGCCTGTCTCTCACCATGCATGTTCAATAGAGCAGTTCCTTCTCCTTGCCAGGGCCACTGAGATCTCTTTCAGCCGATCTCAACTGCTGGGCTCAGAGTGCTCTGACATTCTCAGACCGGTCACTGAAGGATAACTTATTGACATTGGTGTTAGATAAAAACAAACTAATTTCTACAGCGTGTGGTGGACGATTGACCGAAGTTTACACTCGCAACATCATGAAATGACGGCTCTGGCGAACTAGATTTTTTTTCTGCACAACGGCGGGTTAAAAAAAAAAAAACAATCAGCAGCATGCGCATCGATTTTTGCAAATTAGAACGAAGGCTAATGTTTGAAAATAATTGCCAACCCATCGCTTTTTCGAAAGTGAAGGTGCTGCGATAATGGTCATGCGTACAGATGAGCATGCAAATATGAAATCGTCAATAAACCGCATTGGTTCCCAGAGCGTAATATTGTGCAAGCGTCACCCACGCACTCACCCACAGGATATAACACGTATCAGTATGTGGTACAAATCATAGTGTGTTACAGACAGCTCTCTCTTTATTTTACAACACAAATCTTTCAACGCACTTTGACCAAACCAAAAAATTTCTCGAAGCGTCCACAATGCCCCGTAAAGCAGCTGCAAGCTCCGCGGGATGATGCTTCATCGGCTAGGTTTAGCGGATCCACCACGGTGAGATGGACGATCTTGTAATAACTAAAAACTGGAAATACTTCCCACGCACATTTATTCCGTCTATGTCACAAGCGAATCTCGTCCCGTCCGTTGTAATCCTCGCACTGTCGAACGCACACGCGCTTTGTAGGACCAGATTAACACCGCCGTCATGCCGCACCCCACACACCAGTGACGCCACCGTCATCAACCAACTTGGCCAACAAGTTCGCGTACCGCATGACGCCGGCGCCTCTCTGCACTGCGATGGCTAAAGGAAGAATCCGAGGGAACGCTCTGGCAGAGTCATATATGTAGTGTTTGGTCAGTAATTGGTAAGAATAGGCGAAAATAATGGCACGTCATTGGCCGAAACTGTTTCATGACCTTGGGCGCCTTGGCTGACAGCTCTTGTGACCAACCACTTGCCATGATTATTCGCCTAGCGGAGGCAATGAGCTTAACTTATAGCCTCCAATCACAATTTGCAAGTAAGGGTGTATTCAAGTGTTTGATTTCAGCACTATTCTTGAACTTTTTAAAAGGTATATACGGCTCTACGCTGCCGTAGGGAGTGGGCGCCCTCGGAAAGCACCAGCCGGTCTGGCCACCGCACTCTCTTTCCACCACCTGGTTTCACGCGGTCTCGATTGAAAGCGCGCAGGAGGCCCCATGCCACCTGAGACCTCGCTGGAAACGCGGCCTATTTCTGGGAATATCTCCCACTCACTTCCCTCCCCGAAGGAAAAATTTATCAATGTAACCCTCTTTGGCAGTCAATGTTTTCTAGTGGACCGCTGACTGCGCCTGACTGTACGTCAAGCATGTCTGATTGGCCAACAAGTTACTCTGACCGACAGTCAAGCTCCAGTCAGACCCCGCTTGTCGGCTTTCTGATGGTTTCCTGGTGGCAGTCGGCCGCCGCGAACTTCCATCAAGATGTCTTGGTGGCGATTCTGAGTGTGCATCGATTGTCTCTGATTGTACGTCAAAAAGCTTTGACGTGCAGTCAGACGTACGGTCAAAGGACGTAAAGTACGTTCGGATACCGCTATTTTGTCATATCTGTGAATACGAAAAATAATCTATGCACGAGAAAACGATTTCGGGATGTGAGCCCATAAAACCGCTGATGTTAGAGATATGACACGCAACCGACCGACAACCTCAATCAGAAGCCCGCCGAAACGCCGAACACGCCACTTTCGCTTCGCCCATAGAGGCTTCGCCGAGCTTCTATGAACGATCGCTCTAGACTCGTTTTGTTTGCCCGCGTGCTCCAACCTGTCGATCCTGCCGGGGCTCTACAATGTCGTATGTTTTAGTAAAATTTCTACTCCACAAGACCCAGCCTGTTGTGAGTTCCGACGATGTAAGGGACTTTAGCGGTGCAGTTGAAGACGACAAGGTGTACCAGGCTACTGGGCCGGAGAGGCGCGAACAAGAGGATCGTTCTACGACGCGAAAGTACTCTACATGGCAGGTGAGTAGAACTGAAGTACGGCGAGTGATGTACGAGTGCTTTGCATAACATGCTGAAGGCTTAATTGCATATGCAGCCGAAGCATTCTTTAGAGCGATGCGCTCATTGTCGGAATCTCGTGCTGCAATACTAAAATGCTCCTGAATCGGTCCGAAAGGTTTGGGCTAGAAAGTTTATACCTTTCTATCTGGCATGGGCTGTTGGCCTTACCGCTGTGTCAAGCTGCTCGCGTTCGTCCGTGGAAGCCAGGGCTGTCTATCGTAGCATGCATGCTTGCTCTCTAGCTTCAACGGAGTCGCATAGGTTTTTCGAATTAGTGTATACGGTCTTCCCAAAAGGGCGTTTCTTTGAAACATGCTTACGGTGCATGTGGTCCCGTTTGTAAACGAATGTCCCTTTTGCACGAAAAACGCAAATTTCAAAAGGGGGGAAAAAAACAAAGGATGGGTACACACTTTTCCTGATTTTTGATGTCATGAATTACATTCATTTTAAGGATTTGCGAACTGTTTCACAGCCATGCAAAATGGCCACCTCGGCTTGTGAACCGTTTCATAGCCATTTAAGATTGCCATCTCGGAATTTGAGCTTTATATAAAGAGTAAAGCTCTACGCACTCCGGAGTGCACTTCAGACGGAAATAGCTATACGCGCTCCGCTAAACTCGTATAAAATGAAAGGTCAAATCGAGTTTCCTAAGCGATGGCATAGCATAGGGGTTAAGGTGTCCGCTCTGTACGCAAGTGGACGCGGGTTCATCCGCGGCGGACCTGCTTTTTTTTTCTTTTTTTTTTCTCGAAGGAGAAAAAGGTGGAGGCACTTGGCGATATTTATGAGTGCGTATAGCTTTACTCTTATATAAATGCTGCCCTTGTTGATGAAATTCCCTTGGCAGTGGCAGTCAGACGTCATCTGATAAACCATCAGGGCACGTTCCACCAAGGGTGCTGACTGGCAGCCGGTGTCCCAAATTAGGTATATTGATGGAATTTTCAATAGGGTCTAACCAAATTTAGACATTTCTTATTATGCCTAATAACACAGTTCTTAGTATCTGTGTTGTACTTATTTGGTAAACAAATGATAAAAATAGATAAGAAATTAGTCTAACAGTTCGGACGCTGTGAATGTTGATCCCCATTGGTTAACGCTGCCACTTAATAGTGAACACCAATCGAAAGCAAAAGTAACGTTTGTTAAATTTGGAAAACAACCCCAGGTTGCACGCGAAAGATGCGCCTAACTTGACACAAGCTTGGCAATCCTAGGGGCCTAACTTGGGCCTCATATGGTTTTGCTCCAAGGCGTTAGTAAGTGTAAGAGTAATTTTCCTTGGCCAGACAGACTCTGTCCAAAGAAGCTTATGTTTGGCTCAATCTTGGCTTCTTCGGACTTCTTAAACCCCAAAAGTCTCAAAGACCAGCTTGTGGCCCAAAGAACTGGGTTACCTGGGACGGTAATGGTGTTTCGCTACACTGCGTGACGGTAACGAATCTCAGTTGCGGGTTAGATTTTTGACGAGCTAACGAGTAACGCTATTTTGTTATTTAGTTTCGGCAACGGGCTCAACACGGTGCAACAGGTAAGTTTTTCTGTGGTTTTTTTTACTGCAGTATGAACCTCACTTTATTCGAGAGGAAGAAATCACCAACCCGAAAAAAATGACCATATCGAATTCCATAAAAAAAGAAAGAAGAAAACTTATAAATTTGCCGGATGGTGTTGCCAGATCCCTTCCACAAATAACACGAGGATCCTAGAAGTATTTTGGCTCGCCGTGAGTACAGAATTCGGTAATCGTTACCCTTCAATCGCTCGAAATAAGAAACTTAGTGCCTTCCATGCGGGAAGACAGACCTAAGCCTAGTTACTGGGCCTCCCGATGGCCACTCCGCGCACGGCCAAGTGCCACCCTGGCCGCTAAGACCGCATCACACTCACCCCTGAGATTATGGATGTATTGTTGCGATGGAAGCTTGGCCGAGTTAACGAGAGTCCATATTAGTAGCAACCGCCCGTATTTTACAAGAAAAAAAAAGGAGAGGACACATAGAATGACAAACATAGCCCTGACTAGCAAATACCGTGTCTTCTACTTTTTTTTGTATGAAGAAAGACCAGGTGCTATAATGATAATAATAATTATTATTGTTAACTATATTTATTTGGCTATTTTTGACCGTTCTGGGTATCCAAGGAACAACACATGCAGGTTCGTCAAAACCTTCAAATGCTTTAAGTACGGAACCAAAGCTGCAATGTTGTCAAAAAAATCAGCAAGCAAAGGAAAAAAAATATACACTCTGTTGTTCTTTTTTTTCTTTTGTAGAAACCTTTACGCACGTTGCAGGCGAAGCCAATTGTTCCACACGAAGAAGGGTCCATGAAAGCATGAGGGCATAAAAAATATTCAAAATGCCATGTGTTTCTCTTGATCAATGAACATTGTATAGAAGGTACACGCGTTCAAAAGACACCAAGCTTGGCCCCGTGAGCTAAAGTGACAGCGAAAAAACAATGCAGTTCC